CTGACACTGACAAAGGATCTACAAACTGCGGGACAGGGTTTCAGGGTAAAACCTGAGGGGATTTGACTGACCTGGGCAGGTACAAAAGCTACATTTCCAGTTATATAGGTCCTGCTTTATCTTGGTCTTAACCATCCAGCACAAAAGTATAAAAATGAGGTATAAAAAGTAAAGCCATATTAATATGCTGAGCTGTAAAAGGCTCAAGTCAACAACCTCTGACATTGCCAGTCCTACAGATAACCCACTACTATTATGGACTACTGGAGTAGGTTGGATTATTTTGCTGAATTCATGCACCTACAATATTTAAATGACAATGGAATACCCATCTCTGATATAGCTAAACAAAAAAAGGGATAAAAATGAAGGACCATTTTGTATCTGTACATACAAAATAGTTAGGATAGATATACAGCTACTTTCTCTTAATTCAATAAGAAGAAAAGATTTTTACTAATAGTGTTTGGATGGGTTATCATGTCTGCATCTTGTACTATGAATAATTGCTACAAAGCAATGTATTAATTATTGAAACTGTCCTACTAATCTGTCTTGAAACTGCTTCATTGCTATTTGTTTCTCAATAAAATGAATTAAAAAAGAAAGTAGGAGTAGCTATTTTATTTTCTGATACAACAAACTAAGCCAAAACTTTTCAAAAGAGGCAAAGTTGGTCACTAACTAGTGGTAAAGACAAAAATTCAACATGTACCAGTAACGATTTATCTATGTGCTAAGAATTGGTAATCCTAGTTTGATAAAACAAGAGCTACTGGACATAAAAGGAGACACAGATTTCAACGCGATCATAGCAGGACACTTCAATCTCTCTCTCTCTCTCTTTCTCTCTCTCTCATAATTTGACAGGTAAACTAGACCAAAAATTAACGAAGAAATATCATAATTTAAGCACAAGTGAACAACAGCATATGCAATTTTCTTAACAGCATAGTGAACTTTTTTTAAAGAAGATTATATCTTAGTCCACAAAATCCTTATATGAATTGAAATAATCCTCTACACACTATCACAGCATGGGAGAATGAAGCCAGAAATTAATAATAAAAGAAACTGAAACTACATGGAATTGAAATAATATATGACTGCATAATTAGTGAATCTTAAGACATTAGGGAAAAAATAGCAATGTTAATAGAGTCAAATGACAGTGGAAGCATATGTAAAATCCAGTGGGATGCAATGACAGCTTCTGAAAGGCAGACATTCACAATTGAGAATGCACACATGAATTTAATGAAGTGATCCCAATTAAGTAATCTAAGGATGCAGCACAAGGTTCTAGAAAGCAAGAGTAATTCAAATGTAAAATTAATTAGCAGAAAAGAAATTATACAGATCAGCATATAAATTAATGAAATTGAAGCTAAAAAACAATACAAAGATCAATGAGTCAAAGTGTTGGTGCTTTGAAAGGATAAGAAGAATTTATAAACACTTCATCAAGCTTAGCAAAAAAGGAAAGGAAAATTCCATATCAATGCAATCACACATGAAAAAGATTAAATCAAAATCTAATTAAGTACTACCAAAACCCAGAGTATTAAAAACTTAGACCCAATAAACTGGAGAACCTAGTAGAAATGAGAAATTCCTACACACATATAAACTAAACTTGAACACAGATATAAATACTGTAAATAGACCAATAATAAGCAACAAAATAGAGGCAATAATAAAACTTCTCTCAACAAAGAAAATCGCCATACCTGATGAATTCACAGCAGAACTCTATCAGAATTTTAAAGAATATCTAATGCCAATAGTTCTCAAACTCTTCAAGGATATTAACAGGGAAGGAGCCCTGACAAACACATACCTGAAAGGTACAGTACCCTGGTACCAAAATAAAAAACTGACTTAACAACAACAAAGAAAAATCACCATGTAGGCCTAAAATAGACAACAATCGGTGTATTCAAAATGGTTAGGATAGATATGCAGTTACATTCTCTTAATGAATAGAGGGATTTGTTCTAATGGTGTTTGTAAATAGGATATCATGTCTGCATCTTGTACAACAAATAACCACTAGGAAGACAGTATGCAATGTGTTAATTATTGGAACTGTCCTACCAATTTGATTTGAAACTGTCTCTTTGCCATTTATTTCTCAATAAAATTATGGAAAAAGAAACTGGAAGCAAATAAATTAAA